GCTCTCCAAAAATCACAGCCTAGGGGTTTAGCAACCAGCGTCTCAAGTGTTTCCACCCCAGCTGGCAGGTGAAGTGTCCCAGGGAGAGTCCTGGTGAGCCCCACTCCCCCTGCCTCTCTCCTTCAAACCTTCACGTAGCCCCCCAGCCCCAAACAGGGCTTCCCCGTGCCACCGCACAGCAGAGCCGGGGGAGAAACAGCCGTGGGGGAGCAGAAAGCAGCCTGCAACCCCAGTCAGCAAAGCCCCTGCGAGCTTTTACACCCCAGGAACACCACTGCCGGCTTGGCACGGGTGGCTGCCCACTGCCTGCGCTGACCTGATCCCCCCAGGGCTGGCTGTGCTGCTCCACACTCCCTGCTCCGCTAGCCAAAAAACAATCCCAGCTGGAGGCAGGTGCTGCCTCCCAGGATGCCAACAAGCAGGGGATGACAGTTTCCTTCCCATGGCCGGATGGTGGGACTCAGCAGGGCTTTTGGGGATACCCAAGGGATGAGGTGGCCCCATGATGCTCCCTGCTGCCAGCCAGCCCCCCTCCACGTCCCCGTCCCCGGCAGGATGGCCAATTTAGATGCCTACCTGCGGCAGCCCTGGCGCACAGTGCACGGCATCCCCATGGTCAGCGCCTTCACCCAGGGCTGGGAGCGGGTCGATGCCTTCCAGAGCCGCCCTGACGACATCGTGGTGGTCACCTTCCCCAAATCCGGTGAGTGTCCCCAGGCGCTGGAGAGGGGCTGCGCTTGGGAAGGGAGGTACCATCTCCTCCAGGGACTTGAGGAGATACCGAAAGGCAATGCTGGTGCATGATGCCCCTCTGGCGCCCGGGATGGGGCTCTGGTGGGAAGGCACCAGCCGGACGCCAGACCTCTCCTCACCAGGCACCACCTGGGTCAGCGAAATCGTGGACATGATCCTGAAAGGTGGAGACCTCGAAAAATGCAAGCAGGATGCCATCATCAACAGAGTGCCCATGCTGGAGTTTGCTGCCCCTGGGAAGCTGCCGGCAGGTAGCAGGGTGGCAGGGGAGGGTGGGAGGCAGAGGGTGTCAGATGTGGAGTAGGCTTGTTTTTTTGGGGGTGTGCACCTCACCAACAGCAGGAGCACTCCCGGGAGAAACCTCCTTTGCAGGCACGGATCAGCTGGAGGCCATGGCGTCCCCTCGCATCATCAAGACCCACATCCCAGCTCACATCTTGCCCAAATCCTTCTGGGAAAACCGCTGCAAGGTAAAAGGCAGGAAAGGACACACCTGCAGCGATTCAACAGAGATAAAGGGGGAACCTGCCCCACCAGAACCTTGCAAGTTCCCATATCTCACCAAGCCCTCTGCAGATGATCTATGTGGGGCGCAATGCCAAGGACGTGGCTGTCTCCTTCTACCACTTTGACCTGA